GTTCATGCCACCAACTCTTCCTCCCAGAAAGTGTTTTCATTGGAAGGGATTCTTTCCCTCATGTCCCACATGTCATTGCCTTCAAGGTTGAAAAAACATTCTTCCTCGCAATCCATGTCTTCATCCAAGCCAGACAGCAGATCCAGGCCATAGGAAGGCCTGTTATGGACCCACCTCGGCAGATCCAATTTGGTGCTTGTGGGTGTGGGTAGTTGACTATTCCAGTGCTCTTCCTTTGCCTCATGTGGAAAGGGCATGGAAAGACTCTCTTCCTCAGTACTCCAATTTTTGTCTGTTCTGTCCTCTTCCTGGGACAGCTCATGTTCTCTGTTATCTTCCAAGTATTTCTCCCTCTCAGCTATGGCCTCTGCCCCCATTGCTGTTGCTGACAGAGGTGCCCCTTGCTGCCTGCTGAGGACATGGTCTTCCCCTGGCTTGATGTGGAGGAGCTGGGGCATGACCAGCAGGGCCTGCGGATTGCAGATTCCTGACTCTCTCTGTCTGCTGCTCTGGATGGTGCTGTACATACCCATCATTTCAGCCATCCAGGGGGGCTCATAAAACAGGGTCCAAATTGGGCTCATTTCTCTACTGCTTAGAGGTGGGCTACTGAGGTGGGATACTCCATTCTTAAAACCTCAGTATTCTGACTATGCCTGATGTGTGAGGGGCGGGGGAGGCTTCTCTTTTTTGGTTTTGTGATGCAGGGAGGCTACAATGGCGACAGGGAAAACAGACGAGATGGGTCTATGTTGTTTAGCTGGGGAGTCCATTTTATTCCCCATATGCCAAGGGGAGCAGAGGGGCAGAAGTCTGGGAGCCTGGGCAAAGCCCAGAGAGCCCAGAGCCGAGAGCAGAGAGATCAGACCCAGGGCCATGGGGTTTTATCAGGTGTCCTATGGGAGGACTCTTAAAATCAAATTACAGCCTCCTCAGAGCAGGAAGGCTCCACATATGGCTGCATGTAGCCCACCTGTGGGCAGGAGGAGGAAGATGAAGAGGAGGAAGAGGAGGAGGAGGAGGAGGAGGAGGAGGAAAAGGAGTTGGTGGTCCCATCCCCCCAGTCCTTCACCCTCTGCCCCTTTGGCAGCCTCTGCCACTGAGGCATCCAGGAGAGATGTTACTTCCTGAGGGAAGTGCTCTCCTGCGACTGGGCACTCCAGGTTTCAGGGCTCTTTAAGTAACCTCAGGGTCAGGGCGTGGCCCTGTGTAACACTGGTCTCTAGGTGTTGGAATCTGTGATATTTAAATGATCCCGAGATTGTAGAAAGTCTCTGTCTTTCGGCCCCGTTGCCAAAGAAGAAGCCATAATTCATCTGTGCTGTTTTCAAGGTTTATTCTTGCTTATCTCTAACATGTTCTGCCCTGCCACAGGTCTGTCCTGCAGGGCAGCGTGTGGGGCTCTGCCCTCAGTGGGATGTTACAAACATTATATACCAGAAACTATGTGTGCTATATTTACAGTAATGTGCCAATATCTATCACCTGTGTGATAGATAGACAGTGTGTCCCCAGCCTACACTGTCAATAGAAAAATGCCAACACTACAGTGAAACATGGAGGCCATGAAGAAGAAGAAAAAGGACAAGGCATGCCCAATTTCCTCCATCTTGCCCCCTTTGAACCCTTTATCTAGAATCCTAAAATTCTACTTTTGCACCTGTGCCACACTTATTATTACTTATATCAAACACTCAGAGCTTATAATTTATCCTGTAAGATTGAAAACTCTTTTTCCATGGACAGAGATCAGAGATCTCTGCATAAGGCAGACCCTGCACACTCCACGCAGAGGCTCCAGCTGACCTAAACCATCCTCTCCCTCACAGCCCCAGTGCTTGTGGCCCTGCTGAGCTCAGCCCTGCCTCCCTTCAGCTGCTTGGGGTGCCATCACCCCAGGCAGCCAGTGGTTGGGGAGTGGTGTCCAAATGTCAGAAGGATAAACTACTTGTTCAATTGCCCTGTTAATGTTTAGAGCTTGCCACTCAGCAACCCTTTCTGTGCAGAACTGTAAATTAATCAAAGAGTGCTTGTGTGAACTTGCCTTTTACACACTGGGTTAAAGAAAACACACAGTTGTTTTGGGACAACAGGAAGGACATGAGGACAGTGCCTGTGTGTGCTGGGGACCTGTGGCAGGGAGTGCCTGGAACTGGCTTCAAATTTTTTTAGACAAGTGGAAGATTTGGATCCAAAATTTTATTTTGGCCCATTACAGATAAAAGTATAGAGCTGGAAAATAAACCAAACTTAAACTTCTTAGGGTTTTGATGACAGTTTTAGTTCAAGCTCATGTCTAGCAGGTGAATTCTCTCCTAATTAGAGATATTATAATCAGCAATGGTTGTATATTTGTTATTTATTTCCTTTTAAAACTTTTTTCTCTTTCAAAAATCAAACAAGTTTGAGGTATTGTTTTGTGTAAAAGGCAAAAGACTGGCTATCCTCCAAGTGTCAGTCTTCATGCAGCAATTTATCAGCAGGCTGCCAGCTTTAGCATGGCAGCAGAAGATTACAAAAGAACACAAGAGAATCAGAGAGTAAAGCAAACATAAAGCTTGTGGAAGTTTCAGTTCCCATTCTTATCTAGTTTGTAATGAAGCAAAATATCACATCAGTTTATGTTTCAGTGACACAAACATAAATGCATTTTAAAATGGAAAATATTGAAAAAGCACATTTTTCACAGTTGCAAAGTATTTGCATTCTTGCATTATATGATATAAAGAAATGTTTGCAAGAAAGGAAAGCAAGCTGGCAATTGGTAGAAGAATGGAATGTACTTCCATTCTTTTGTAGTCATGTCTAAATATATTTCTGTTGCTGCACAGGAATATCACAGGTGCTCTAAACAAGTCTTAACACAGACATAACGATTTAAAAAAAATTATACATTAATAATAAACAAATATTTTTTGTATTTGGGCTTAATTTTTCTAAAATGGTGAATGTGCTTGATCTTGATCTGGTAGAGAGCCTTGCATGCTGCATTGTTTTCAATGTATCAAGGAGAATTATTTCTTCTCCACTCAGTGTGGGAAAAGAGCATGGCTATTGGCTTCAGAGGAGAAAGGGCTGTGTTTGCCACTAATGACCTGGAGATGGTGTGTTGTGGAAATAAAGCTCAAAAAACCATTAGGTCAATAGAAAAGCAGAGACTGACCTGCACTGTGGAGAAATAGAGTGGAAAATAGTGTCTGTTAATATAGACATCTTTTCCCCTCCAATAAGATTATTCATCTCTCTCTATCTGGTTCTTCCCTACAGAGATATCTATAACACTCTAGCTAAATCCTATCCCCTCTGTGCTGAATTTTCCACTCTTTAAAGATAGGAAAGAGAGTGCTAATTGTATTTGCTGTTGTCCTCTCTTATTTTATTTTGCTGCAAAGAATGTGCAGCACTGAAGATGAGAAATAGTAACTAATTCCACAAAGTTGGGGAGATTTCTCGCTACCAGCCCTGAGGCATTTGAGGAATTTTATTTTTTAATCGTCATAAACTGACAAATATAGAAGATATATCACAATGCAATACATGCATACACCTAATCGGAAAGTGAAGTAAGAAATGAAATTATCTGTATCAAATATGGAAGGGAAGGTAGCAAGGCAGAACTATAAAGCATAGATTTTATGTTTGCATATGTAAATTTGAAATGAACTGAAATGAGAAGCAATAACAACAAAAAAATGTTTTCTGGTCAAGTCCACTATATCTATAATTAGTTAGATGTTTAATTTAATTAAGAGTTAAGTAGCACTATTGCTAATCCAGAAGCTCAGCATTAATAAAAAAAATTCAAATGCATAATTCCTACAAATGTCTTGGGAGATCTATGAAATCTAGGAAAAAAAAAAAAAAGGGGAAATATAATTTCAATAAAAAAACCCAGTAATTCCTACTGTGTCATATTTTTCATGCACGGGAAACAAATCTGAAAATTATAAAATAATCAAAAGTTGAAACTCTCACATCTTACAGAGCAAAGGTAGTGGCAGAACCTCTTCCAGATTCTTTATTCCACATGTTACCAGTGTACAGTGTTATAAAACCTAGGACAGACTGGTTAATAATGAGATACTTAAGAAAGTGGAGTTTAAATGATCTGACCTTCAACTCTTTAAATTTATTTTTGTCTGTTTCTAGCTCAAAGGATTTGGTGACATAATTCAAACAAAGACATGTACATTTGAAGTGAATGCCAATTAATTAAAGAAATTTTGTAAAAATGGAAGGCTTTATAAATTTAAGTTTCATCATGTATTGAAGACTTTTGTTAAACAGAATAATCTGAGAATAACTCAGAAATTACAGGAAATTTAAAAATTATTTTGAATTTTGAAAGCAAAGTATTCTGCATGACTAGATAAAAAAATTACTTGCAAATGTGGACTGATTTAAAATTCAATTTTGTTTTATGATTTTAAAATAAATTTTATTCTTTCAAAGGAAATCCTCTAAATTTTTTTGAACATTGCTGCAATAACTTAGGAATTTAAGTCAGGTGATATATGTGTATAGTATTTGAAATGGTTTCTGTTCCCTCTTGGAAAACAAGTTTTGAAACATTGGCAGGCATTCAGAACAAAATGACATCTTCTTTTTTTTTAGCAAACCCTATTTAGATATTCTCTATGCACTCTTCTGTTCTGTGCTGTGTTTTACTACATCTTGATGTGTGAATTAAGGCACTGAAATGTGTTTTAAAGAAATTCTCCATCTGGAAAACAGAAATGTGTGAGACACCAAACAGATTGAGTTCTTCAGATAGGTTTCTGTTTTAGAGCTAATAATTGCATTAGGAGCTAAAAAAATGAATATGTGATGAAGACAGCTGCAGTGGTCCTTAAAAGCAGACAGCTTCTGTAAGGCTTTATCAAACTACTATTCTACATCAAGATAATTAAAGCAAAGTGCATTTTTCTCCCTATTTGAAAACAGAATAACAAAATTCTAAGTTCATGTTTTCTATTTATCTGTTCTTATTTCATTTACAGGAACTTCCAGATTCTCTGAAAGAACAGACCTATCTGAAAGAATGGCATGTGTACAATACATTAATACAAACCATTCCTGCCTACCTGGCACTATTTCAAGATCTGAGAGTACTGGAATTGTCAAAAAATCAAATCAACAATCTTCCAGCAGAGATTGGTGAGTTGGTCCAAGATATTCAGATATTTATACTCATACCATTTAACTCTACTGCAGGGGAAATGAGCATCCATGGATATTCTTGTTAATCTATGGATAATTGTCTTCCTTGTTTACACTGAACAGTCCCCACTACATTTTTATATCTCTCTGGCTTTAATTATACTTGCCAAATTGTATTGAGAACCATGAATATAGTATGGGAAAAAGTTAGCACATTTTTGTTATCTGATTATAAGGCAATTATTGCTTGTATTCAAGTAGATGAAGAGTTGTTTCTGGGAACAGGTGGTGTTTTATATTCCTTACAGATAAAGAAAAATAGAAATATTACAGAATTTTAAGTCTCAAACAGGATTAATTGAAACAAAAGATTGTAGGGGAAAAGGAACAAAAAATACAACTCTGCAAAAAAGATGCATTTTATTTTTTTTTAAGAGTTCAGTAATTATCTTAATTTATTAAAGAGATATATCATAGTGTAATGGATTAATAGAAAAATTTGAATTGGAAGGGACCTTAAAGGTCTTCTAGTTCCAACCCCTCTGCTGTGGGCAGGGACACTTATTAGACCAGGCTGGTCAGAGCCCCTTCCAACCCAGCCTTAAATGTTTCCAGGGATGGTTCTTCCCCTACTTTTCTAGGCAGCCTGTACCAGTGCCTCAACACCCTTACAATGAAGAATTTCTTTGTGATATCTAATCTAAATGTACTCAACCTGATGTTATAAGTTTTTAAAAAAAATTCTCAATGCTTAAATAGTTTGCCACTTGCCATTTTAAGCTACATAACAATGATTCTAATGCTTACCTCTCCTATGGTTTTAGGTCTTACAATAGAAAAGCTTGTTTGACAGATTGTATTGGTACTGAGAGGGATTTACTGCTCTTACAAGGAAAAAATATAGCTGTAACAGGTAGCATGTTTGAGAGCTGAAGAAACTGGACCCATTGTGGGCTTGCCAGTGTCGTGCTCATACACCTAGCTATCCTAATACCTCAGCCTTTGATTTTAAATACAGTAGTTCTAAGCTTTTCCCATGAGTGTCATTCCTTATGTACACTAAGAGATAACAGCTTAAAGACTAAAGCCTCCATTTCCCTTGATATCAAAAGTTTAACTAGGAAAAACAGGAAAAAATCCTGAAACACAGAAATCTAAGTGAGAGCTGTCCACTCTTTTAGTATTGTATTAGTCAAGTAACACTCATGCTTTTGGTTTATTTACTAGCACTGTATTTTAGAAAGAAAATTTTACATGGACATTGAGATCTATATTATGGTTTCAGTCTGGCATCTAAACTCACTAACAGATCATAAACAAGACCCAAGCAGGAGATAATGGATATAAAATGAACACGGTTTTATCAGGACTTTGACTGCAGAACTGAGATAGGTCAGTGAGTTTAGTGGACAAACACCTTATAAAATGTAGTTTGGAAGAAAGTGGAAATAGCATGGAAGAAAGGGGAGAGACTGCTAGTTTCCTGCCAGAGGCTACCCTGAACCATTAAACAGAGGGTTTAAGGAGCTGTAGCTTAACAGTTGAGGCAGGTAGAGGCAAAAAAAGTTTTTCTTTATTCTAATAATGTTATGCACTGTTAATGATAATGATCCCTAAGGAAAAAAATAGCATCACTAATGCTAATAAAATCTGTTTCCACAATAAAGGCATGAAGACAGATCTCAGAGTCACAGAATTGTTAAGATTGGAAATGGCCTCTAAGATCATTGAGGCCAACCATAAATCCACACTGTGTTAATCTCCAAACCATGTCCCTAAGTGACACATGCACACATTTTTTTTTAGCATTTTTGAGGATGGCAATTTTACCTGTTATTTGGGTGGCCTGTTCCAATGCCTGGCCAACCTTTCAGTGAAGAATTTTTTATCTAGTATCCAATCTAGATGTCCCTTTGTGCAACTTGAGATAATTTCCTCTCATCCTTTCACTTCTCCCACTTTTCATGTAGGAGAAGAGACTGACCCTCATCTTGCTACACCCTCCTTTTCAGGCAGTTGTAGAGAGCTATAAGGTTGCCTTCCTTTTCTCCAGGATCAATAACACCAGGATCAAAAATATCAGCTTCCTCAGCTGGTCCTCATAAAATTTGTGCTCCCCAGCTCTGTTACCCTTCTCTTGACACTCTGCAACACCGCAGTGGCTGGGGCTGTTGTGGATTAGAAATTGGGTATTCCCCAATTTAATGTTCTCACTGAAGCACTCCAAACCACGTGGCACTCACTCATTCCATCTCCCTCTCCTCTCCCCTTTCAGCTGTGTGGAGAGAAAAATTTGAGGTACAAAATGTAAAGACCATGAGTTGAGATAAGAACAATTTACTGGAAACAGCTAGAATGTCATTACAGAGCAAAGCAGTGACACCCAACCTCACTTACTTGACCAGAAGAGGTTCCCCCTTCTCCTACCCCTGAAAAACTCTGTGAGGTAGTATGGAATAACTTCTGGGTATTAGCAATACCCCCTCCTGGCTGCTGCAAAGTTTAGCCCTGTCCTGGACAAAACCCAGGGGCCCAGAACTGAACACAGTTTGGATTTGAGGTGTGGTCTCACCAATGCTGAGTATATCAGGACAATAACTTCCCTGGTCCTGCTGGTCACAGTATTTTTGATACAGGCCAGGATGTCTTTGGCCTTTTTGGCCACCTGAGCACACTGCTGGACCGTGTTTGACTGGCTTTCAACCAGTATCCCCAGGTCCTTTTCTGCCAGGCAGCTTTCCTGCTCCTTTTCCCCAAGCCTGTCATGCTGTATGGGGCTATTGTGACCCAAGGGCAGGACCTGGCTCTTTGTGTTATTGAACCTTGTATAATTGTCCTCAGCCCATTGATCCTGCTGGTCCAGATGACTCTGAATATCTTTCCTACCCTCTAGCAGACCAATCTTCCCACACAACTTAGTTTTTGCGACTTAGGGGACACTTGATCTCCACATCCAGATCAACAATAGAGACTCTGGGTTGGACTCAAAGATCTTTGGGTTAGACTTGATGATCTGGGTTGGACTCAATGATCTTGAAGGTCTCTTCCTACCCAGTGATTCTGATTCTGTAATAAAGACTCTAAAAGAAGGCTGAGTCCTGAGGAACACCACTGATGACCAGGGGACATCATAGTAGAAGGTAATGTAGAGCCTGTATCAGACATTTTTTTGGAAATAAGGAAAAAAGTCTCATTGTTTCTAGTACCAATCACTGTTATTTCAATTGCATTAAAATGATGGGATTTCTGCTCATCAGTAGCTTTTGTGTAATTCCTATTTATTCACTTTCCCTTCGATATGTTTATCTCGCTAGTTTATACCCATGATTTATTTCTTCCTATGTTTTTGTTGCTGTTTTTTAATGCAAATGTTTGCCTGAAAGGGCCAGAGAATGTTACAAAATGCTTTGTTGTAGGGTTTCCATCAGACACGGTGTTAAAGCACTCACCATCCTCCTCTTACCTGGGAACTTTTCAGAAATTTTATTTTTCAAGATTCATAACATTTAAGCATTCCTCTGTGGAAACATAGATTTGGGCATTAGACACCACATAAGCAAATAAACAAATTTGCTAAGCCATAGATACTACTTATACACACACACACACACACACACACACACACATATCTATTATATATACCTGTAACTTATATATAATTCTACATCATAGTAATAATTCTAGACTATCCACAAAACGATACATAATCACTGATGTAGTCTAAAATGAAATAATACAAAAATCCACTCCAGGATTCTGTACCTGAACTGTTCATCACTCTTTTTGCCAAAACTTCCTGATATTTTCAGTCTTAATGAATGTTGTGTGTTGATAGACCACCTGTTAGTAAGGCGGTGGAAATGCCCTTTTTGTTATGGCATAAATTAAAGAGGAGCTTTGTCTTAATTTTTGAATGCTCTCTTTGTTTACATGTAAGGGGATTTGCTTGCAAATAGCTGTGCTTTTATTTAATGTACTGTACATGCATATAGAGATGGATATTAATGTGTATTGGAAATGTTAATTGTTTTCATAAGGCAATATTATGGAAAGTCTTGGATATTTTGAAGTTTTTGGATACTGCTTCTAAATGAAATAGTTCATATTTTAAGTATACTTATATATAAGTCAACTTATCTACTAAAGTTTCACGAGGAAAATTACCGATGTGTGTATGATTTGGGAGGTCTATCTAAGCAAAGAGTGAGGACTGAGTGCTAAATCAGAAGGTAAGGTGTCTGGAAAGGTTAAGTGCTAAGGTATTAATCATTTTGTCTTCTGCTTACAAAATAGCAATAACTAGGTAAATATCACAGCTGAAATGTACTTGAGAGCAATGACAGAGAGTTGATGTTGGCAGTGACATACATCTTGTTGAGTCTTTAATCTTCAGACAGAATTGAAGTCAACTTTAGATCAACAAATCATATGGCAGAGGATAACATGGTGAGCCATATTATGACAACTTTTGATTCTCACAAGAGGTAAAGGTATGAGAGAACATCAGATGATAAGAGTATTTTCAATGAAAAGAATTATTGCTGCAGTAGAAGTTTCCAGACTTCTGGAATATTGAAGTTCATATTTATGTTTTACTAGATTTAGAAGATAATGCTCCACTCTGAATCAGAGAGAAGAAAGAGTTGAACCCATTAGCAGATATTTCATATCACACTTTTATAGTCATATATGTACATGAACAAGAACTTATTTATAACAGAAGACAGCTGAGAATACTTTTGATTTGATAGTTTTTGTGTAATAGCAAATATTTTAATCAGATTTGTAAAAAAACCCCCAAAAATCCAAAAAGCTGCAGAATGGAGTTGTCTGTCTTAAAATGGTTTGTCTAGGAATAACAGAGAAAAAATTCTTAATGGGGTATAGCCAGGGTATTTTCTTTGTGTTCTGAGTGAGATTAGAGCTTTGGCTTTGACTCTGTGCCTGCAGTACAATTGCTGTATGCAAAGTAATGCTAGTACATTAGTAATTACTAT